TCTTCCCGCCCGGTAAAAGGATGGAGTGTTTTCCTTTTGTAAACAAAACAGATTTATGTGTGCCGGATGATTAGCGCCGGGGATTTTCCTCCTGGGCTTCGAGAATTTAGTAAAGCGCTTAACGTCAGATGTATTTCCTGCGTACGTGCAAGTAATCTTAATAAACGCTGGTACCTGAGGTCGTGCTGTATACTGAAGGGTTTTCGTATGTTGACTCAGGGGCAGTGTGTGATTACCTTTCTACCATCTATTAATTCAAAAGGATACATAGAACAACTAACTATTACTCTAGGATGGAGACACAATATAACAGGCCACAGAGGACAGTCATAACCAACACGTTAGTCGGAACAATACTGCTGCTAACGTCTACCAATAGGAAACGTTTAGTGGGTAGCCGATATTTCATTATACTCGTTAATGTTTGACTGTGTGCGATGTAGTGTTAAGTGAGGAGATGACTATGGAACTCGTACTCCAGGTGTAATATCAAATCAGGTGCAGCAGGTGCAAGCATCAATTATTCACGCCATACAAATCACACTATTGTTCGCAGGTAAAAGCTATTTGGATTGTTTTAAGCTCAGATGTTCTTTGATATTTATCATTCTGTATCATGTTAGCTCGGTGCTCGAAACTCGGAAACTTGAGAGAAAAAAAATAAAACTTTAAAGCAATCTGAATAGTTCATCTCGAAATCGGACTTGAAAATGCTTGATGATCATCGCCTTTCACGGCATTCCCTTCTCCTCACCAAGACGAGACGAGACGATAAAAACTTGTCTTTCAGATTTTGGTAGTATTGTTGAATCTTTCTTGTTGTGCCTAAAACACATGACATATCGTCGAGTATTATACAACTGGTGTGTCACTTTACGAGATGTGAGGAGCCAGTGATGAACATGTATGTCGCTCAGAAGCAAGAAACACAACATCTGGACCAACACACACACACACGTGAACGCCACTTCCTCCAACAGCCTCCATCATATTCCCCCCAGAGGTTTTCTCCTCACTCTGCCCTCCACAACTCTCCTAAACATCCACATTTTATTTTATATTAACTGTGAAATTTGGCTTAGAACTTCACTCGCATATGCAGATGTCTGGAGTCTTAAGTCAGTCTTAAGAAGCGAGTGAGTCCGTCTTGTTGTCATTCTCGTCTGCAGATGACCTTGTTAGGGTTTGTTTATGCTAATCTGCCGGGGCGAGGCGTCTCTGCTCTGCACTACTAGGGTTTATAACGAGGCTGGGAGGGAGCTGGCCTGAGAGATGTATGTCATGTTTTGAGCTCACTGTCCTCCCACAAGCTTTTAAGCGACTGTCTCTTTGGTTTTCTTATAAAAGGGTTCATTTAGTTTTGTCCACTTGTGTGACAGACATACACTGACACACACACAAACACACGTACTCAAAACTGTTGTATATACGCATGAGAATGTACTCTTGGAGGTCTCATCTATGAACCACTGGCTTTCATAAGACAGCACAACAGCACACACCAGCACATGAACACTCAGTACCAGGATATGTAAATCCCGGAGTATGCAAAGCGGCTAGGCAGGAGAGAAGAATATGCGAGTGTGGATGTTGCGACACTTTGACACCCGTCTCTGACACCCCAATACACAATAGTTTCCAACCCAACTCAATATACAGCGGCAGCCTTTGACATGTTGAGATACCAAACTTTTCCCATTTTTTTTTTTTAGTTTTTAAAAGTTGTTGTCTGGTGCGGAAACTAAAACTTGGTGAAGGGGGAATAAAAACCCTTGTAGTTTAGTCATCAAAATACAACAAGGTAACAAAAAACATTACCTGTATATATTTAATCCATAATACCTTCTCCTTCAGAGCTTTTGAAGAGACCAGCATAAAGTACAAGAGTATTTTTTTCTCGTTAATTTGGTATACAACGTGGGTATTTTTCTCTGTTTCAAGAGATAAGAGGAGTTTTTTTACGTGAGTTTTAGTATACAATGACTGCTTTTTTATGTGTTAAGTTACCAAAGAAGTGTATGTGTTTGTCTCTATCATAGGGATTAAGTGAGGAGTGTCAGTGAGGAGAGGAGAGTCAGGCTGTGAAATGACCAGCTCACTTCACCTGACTGTAAACGTCACATTATACCTGACTTTGAGCTTGCGAACATCAGAGTCAAGTCCATTCGGTAATCAGTCTGAAAGGAGGGAAGAGCGAAGTGTCTTGTCACCATTCTATTCGTAAATCAGTCATCCAGTCAGTCAGTCAGTCAGTTAGTTAGTCAGTCAGTTGTATCTACCATAGCGAGTCTGCAACCCAGTTAGTTCGCTGGAAAAATTACACGGTCATTCCACCAACCATTTCGCTCGTTTTCACTCGGTCTTTACAGTTGCTTAATGGCCATTGCTCCCTTAACAGCGCTCCAGTAACCCAGGTCAGTTGCAACAAAAACAAACTAGGTCAAGAGTGAAGGTGAAGGCGTTGAGAGTTGGTGGCACTGTACCCTGGCTCTTGTGTGTTTACATGTGGCACTACAAGTTATTGATCTTATGATAAGTATGATGAGAAAATATAATGCAAGTCACACTATAATGATGAGTATGATGATAAAATAAAGCATACTTTTAAACAGACAAAAAAAGCATATCGAGGCATACTTCAACATTGAGTATGATAATAATAAGACAGAAATCAAACTTCAAGGATGAGTAAGAAAAAAAAATCATACTTTAAAAAATGAAAAATAAAATCGTATTACACAAATAAATAATAAATACAAGATAAACCGCACAGGACATAATCTGACCACAAAAACAGGTGTTAAATCTTAGTGTAATGATGAAAATGTAATTAAGACGAATATGATTTACAGCCATTACCTGGATTAGTTCAAGTCGGGTGTTGCGTGATACCGTAAGAGTAATTACCGTCGGGAGTTCGTCTTGTGAGGTTTCGTGTACCTCCCACCATCCCTTATGCCAGAGAGTGTGGTAAAGTTGACGGATTGATAGATAGATGGATAGGGAGGGAGAAAGTTTCACCATAATAGTCTAAAAAAAAATAGATGGAGTGTTTCACCTCTTCTATGTGAGAGTAGAACGATAAAGAACGACAGATAAGTAGCCAGATAGATGGACAGCATTCTACACTATTTAGTCAACATAGAATGATACGAGAACATTACTACACCTTATCTAATGTATAAGTTAGAAAGAGGGATAGAATGTTCCTTCTTATGCAGTTGAAAAGCTAGATGGAAAATGTCCCTCAGTGCCGTATTATATAGTTTGGAAACGGAGGGAGAGTATATACGAGATGGAGGGAGAGTATCGAGATGGAGGGACAGTATCGAGATGGAGGGAGAGTATCGAGATGGAGGGAAGTGTCGAGATGGAGGGAGAGTATCGAGATGGAGGGAAATATCATGTATCGAGATGGAGGAGAGAGTATCGAGATGGAGGGAGAGTATCGAGATGGAGGGAGAGTATCGATGGAGGGAGAGTATCGAGATGGAGGGAGAGTATCGAGATGGAGGGAGAGTATCGAGATGGAGGGAGAGTATCGAGATGGAGGGACAGTATCGAGATGGATATCGAGATGGAGGGAGAGTGGAGGGAGAGTATCGAGATGGAGGGAGAGTATCGAGATGGAGGGACAGTATCGAGATTGAGGGAAAGTATCGAGATGGAGGGAGAGTGTCGAGATGGAGGGAGAGTATCGAGGTGGAGGGAAAGTATCGGGATGGAGGGAAAGTATCGGGATGGAGGGAGAGTATCGAGATGGAGGGAGAGTATCGAGATGGAGGGAGAGTATCGAGATGGAGGGAGAGTATCGAGATGGAGGGAAAGTATCGAGATGGAGGGAGAGTATCGAGATGGAGGGAGAGTATCGAGATGGAGGGAGAGTATCGAGATGGAGGGAGAGTATCGAGATGGAGGGAGAGAGTATTGAGCTCTAGTCATTGGGGAAGTGTTGGAAGGGGTGCAAAGATAATGATGATGATGATGATGATGATGATGACACTGATGATGATTACAATGACAACAAAAACCATTGATATCAGCTACTATACTAAGAACCAATGGACAATACCTGTAATAACGGTGCCAAAGGTAGGTAATAAACCTTTATTGTGGTGATGACCCCAGGTGCACTAGGTGGTCCCAACAGGTGTTAGATGACCCCTCCACTCGTCTGAAAACAACAGAAAAATAAATGTGATAAATATACACAATAAAAGCTGTTTATGGACGTCAGCTTAAGCTTTGTCAGAGGTATATAACTGTGTACCAAATTTCACTTTAGTTTTATACGGGAACATGTGTGATGTACAGACTAACAGGCGAACACACACACACACACACACACACACACACACACACACACACACACACACACACACACACACACACACACACACACACACACACACACACACACACACACACACACACACACACACACACACACACACACACACACACACACACACACACACACACACACACACACACACACACACACACACACACCTACCATGATAGCTAGTAAACTTAAGGCTACATTCTTACTACTGTTATTCATGTCATTATTCTGCATTATTTCTTTCATTATTTATTTATTCACTCATGAAACTGTTTACTTATTTATATGTTAACTTTTTAATTTACAAGAAAGTTTTTTAATACATGCTTTCAGAAACCTTGTATTAGTACAGTATATGTTTATGTGTAATATACCATAAAGCATTTAGTTTTAAACACTGTGAATAATGGAAAGGATGGTTTAATAATAATAATAATAATAATAATAATAATAATAATAATAATAATAATAATATCAAACGGGAAAAAAGTGGAACTATAGCATAATTTCTATATCCTGTGAAAGCCTAATGAAGCAATTTGGCCTATAATGATTTTAATGAGAGTGACGATACTGAATGCCGCTACTAATCATGACGATAACGATGACATAATGAGGATAATGACACTGATGCCAATCTCTCTCTCTCCCGCAGGTGACTGGTTCTGGCACACGCGTCGAAGGTGTATACGTCCATATGCGACCTCGACGCTCTCTACACGCCCTTCACCTCGCCCCTCAAGTCGAGTCACCTCCCCATTCCTCTTCCTCATCCTTTTCCTCCACTTCCTCTTCCTCGGGAGACTACATTGCCTGGGACACAGTGACGGTGATGAACGCAGGGGCCTCCAGCTACGTGTTGACCAGCCTGACGCCTAACACGGAGTACGAGGTATTCCTGGTGCCCTTCGTCAGGACGGAGGAAGGGCTGCCCACCGAGCTCAGGGTCAACACCACCCTCCCTGACGGTGAGTACACGGCTCTATTTGTTTGTCCAGACGAGGAGTAGGATGTCTGGGTCCTTGTTGAAGTGACGAGGTCCTTGTTGATGTGTGTGTGTGTCTGTTGGGGGGGTCCATGTAGATGCGTGTGTGTGTGTGGGAGTCCTTAGAAGAGATGTGGTTTTGTGGGGGTGATGAGGTCCTTGTAGATGTGTGGGGGGGTCCTTAGATGTGTGTGTGTGAGGGGTCCTTGTAGAAGTGCATGAGACATTGTAGAGGTAAAGTAGGCTCTTGTAGAGTTGAGGACGCTATTTTAGAGGTATGGGTACCCGTGCAGAGGTGGGGAGACTCTTGTTAAGGTGTGAGGAGGTTCTTATGAGGTGTGGGGGAGGTTCTTACGGGGTGTGGGGAGGTTCTTACGGGGTGTGGGGAGGTTCTTACGGGGTGTGGGGAGGTCCTTACGGGTGTGGGGAGGTTCTTACGGGGTGTGGGGAGGTTCTTACGGGGTGTGGGGAGGTCCTTACGGGGTGTGGGGAGGTTCGTATGGGGTGTGGAAATTTTCATGGATAAGTGGAAGTTACTGTAGGGATGAAGAGGCTGTTTTAGTGGTCTTTTAAGTTACTGTAGATGTGTAAAGATTTTTGCACGGGTGTCAAGGATCTTGTAGAATTGTAGATGTTCTAGAAGAAATATCGTGATTCTTATTCAGATGTGTAGTTCTTTAAGAGGTGTGGAAAGTGCTCACTGGTCTTCAAATTCTGCTCAGAGGACGATGAACCTCTACTGTAGAGTGCAGGGACTTTCGTGGGCGTTTTGATGGGGGTAACAGAGCTTACAGTGGGGATGTAGAGGATTTAAATGGAGTCTGAGGCTTTAATGAGGGTGTGAGGGTTTCAGTGAGGGTGTGAGGCTTCAAGGGAAATAGGGACTTTCAGTTTGATATTGGGGATCTGGGAAGTAGAGTGTGACCGCAGTGAAGTGTATTAGAGTATCATAGGAGACATATAAAGCTCAGCTGCTGAGAAGATAAACTTAGAACCTATTGTTGTTGTTTATTATTACTTCTTAACTCTTGAAGGTGACGTAGGTCTTCCGTTGAGAAGGGAGGCACACAAGGTGTAAGTCGCTCACTATAAGAGCCGACTACATTGACCGAGGAAGGCATGTCATGGTAGAGGAATCTTCCTACTGATGTCCTTTGTTTTCGGATACGCATTTGGAGTCTTCAGGCCCTTCAGCAAAGATGGAAGATATCGTAGGACTTTCAGAATAATTACTTAAACGTCAATACGCGTATGAAGCTGTCAACGGCGTCAAAAGTCTTACGATAGAGATCTTCCTCGTGGAAGATATTGATTACATTATCTGATATCGTTGTCAAAGACCGAAACTAAAGTCCGGACTCACCAAGTGTCTTTCGAAGACCTTTCTCCCTGTCAACACTGCCCCAATCTTGTCTGCCAGTCAAATGCGTTCTCACGTCTACAGTTAAGAGAAATATTAATGTACGAATCTCTGAGAATCCGGGAGCAAATCCCTTGAGCTAAAACACCCCACCAGCGCTTACCACACCAGTCCCTCAATAAACGACTCGACGGGGTAGTTACTGACAACGATAAAATCAACGACGCGCCCCTAACCACCGACGCCTGGGCAAATGAGCAGCAGGAGCTGCTAGGTTTATGGAGATCAGATAATAGAGGTTTCAAGATGGGAGGATATTGGAGCATGGAGGCGACACAATACGCATAAGACCATCAGAAGCTGCCTGGGGGAGACGTTATAGGCGCTCTCGAGGCCTTCCTCTCCTCTCTATATTACCCTCATCTCCCCGCGCTGTGATATGCAGTAACCAGAACCTGGGAAGACTGGGGATGCCTGCAGTGATCCCTGGGGAGTCCTGCAATATGGAGGGGGTAAGCTAGAGGTCTGCAGACTTCGGGAACACCTGCAGTTTGGATTTGGGTCGCCTGAAGGAGTTTGTAGTAGCCTCTTTAAGATCTCTCTAGTGTTACCTAAGGGGACGCGAAAGAGTCTTCATAAGAATCTTGAGAAGTCCTGCAATGTGACCCCCGAGAAGGCTGAGGAAGCCTGTAATGTGATCGAAGGGCAGACCTGAATCTCCCGACACTAGTTATCACTCTCTATGTCTATTACCTGTACTATAAGTATCATTATAGTCAACGCTGAAAACAAAACAACAAACAAGTTCCGACGTTACACTAGTCAAACAACAACTAACAAGTATAAGATAAAACTCTATATACCAAGCACCTCTGATAATATAAACATCTATCACCTGTATTATTCTTTTCCCATCACACAGTAATGTGAATTAAAATAAGTTAAACGTTGAAGCTAAAGTTACAAAGACGCGAACACCAAATTTAAAGGAAAAATGTCTCTAATATATAATGATTTTTCTCCGTATCAGCATCACTGTACAGCTGCGAGCAAAATCCTAAAACACTCGGTAATATCCGGGATCTACTGTACACGTGGGTTATATACGTGAGCGATTTATAACTGACGAACACTATAAGACATTAAATGAGGTCAAACAACATGAAAACAAACACTGTACAACACAACTCACAACCTTGAGTCAATAGATGTTAAAATCCCAACCCCCTCCTTGCTTACCTGAGCCTCCCGGACAGTACAGGTAAATGCCAGATATTGTCCGGGGAATTTTGTCCATCTCAACCAGAGACAACAGGCTACCTCGGGCTATATATCGTACCAGTCTTTACCACATGATCTTGAACAGGATATAACTGATCTGAATTAATAGTATATGTTGTATAACGTGATGTGTATGACTGCTGGGCGTACACACGGCTAGGGGCTACGTTTACACAAGAGGGTAATATTAGGCTCGAGTATAAAGCCGGGCAGAGTGGCACACGTCACTTGAGCGAATATTAGTAACTTAAGTAGTGTGTGGAGGAGGCAGTCGGACACTCTCCCGGGAGCGGCTCTTGAATATTCAACGTCTTGCGGCACCTGAGGGAGACATGTGGCACACAACCAGGTTCTCCAAGTGTGGCTCCATGTGGCTCCTCTTGTGTGTATATGTGACTGCTGGTGTGTATGTATGGGTTCTATTGGTGTTTATAGGAGACACTGTATATATGTGACTGCTGGTGTCATATTTATACATGGATCTGGTGACTTAATGTGTATATGTGGTTAAATTGTTTGTATGTGGCTCTGTTGCTGCGTATCTATGGGACGCCACCTGAGTACATAGGCCTCTTGGTGAGTTAGTTATGGACATGGGACTTTCGTCTTGCATATATATGGCTCTACACATGTGAGACTTTTGTTAGGTATATAAGTGGTTCTTGTGTTGCATACATGGTGCTGTGCTCTGGTGAATTACAGTCAGGTACATCACACCTGAGTCTCGTGCTATGGTCTGTATACCTTGGCACCTGTTACACCTGGTGGAGAAGGTAGCGGTAATCTATCATCCCCACCAGTCATCACCTTGCTGGTAGTTCTGTTGGTCGGCCTGTTCTTTGTTACGACCAGAGGGATGAGAGGCAAAGGCAATACCGCTTATATTTTATCTAGACACCTTGAAGAGGATTGGCTTTATAATATAAGAGTGGTTTTATATAGGACAAAGGTGGTCTTATAGTGAACAAGCTTGTTGCTATAGGTAACAAAGTTAGTCTTATATATAAGAAGATTAGTCTTATACACGATAATACGGATCTTACACAGGAAATCAATAGCGACATCCGGGAAGGTGAGTGATCTTACATACTGTAGGCGCTTAACTCCTGCCGGGGAGGAGACTATCTAGTTTAACACACCTAGCTGCTGGGTAACTGGTTGGTGGTACTGTTTCATATCAAACTATTGTCTATTACCTAAGGATAAAAGTCGTCCACTACTGCAAATCTTAACTGCTGAAGAAAATAGTCTGGATCAAATCGTTCTGTCAAAAGCGTTTCCATCTTAAGTTAGTAGTCACGATGGCTGTATTGGGACTTTATAGAAGAATTTCCACTTACTGGGGGATAACAGTAGTCTGCCATTGGTGCGACAAAGGCTGCACCACTTCCTTCCTTAAAAACGTGTTCAGGTGTTGGGAAAGAGAATTATTTATTACTACAGGCCTTGTCACACGGTGTGGCGAGGGACGAAGGTTATGTTGCAACTCTTGTGAAAACATTTCCAGTTGCCGTGGAGAAAATCATGAAATATTACAAATCTTTCCAGTCGGGGTTGACGAAGGTGTAGGATCTCCTTGAACGCAATTCTTACTGTTTATGAAGAACAATAATAAAATACTCCATTCCTTATCAGTTGAGGATGAATACACTGTATCCCTTATCAGTTATTGAAAGACACACTACTATATCCACACAAAAGACCTTTTCATTTATGTGACGAAGAGAAAATCCAATATCACAAGCTAGTTGGTGGGGCTTATATAAAGACACTTCCAATTACGTTCGAGACAAGAGTTACCAAAATACCACATCTCTTCTCAATTGTTGAAGAAGAGACACTTTCGCTAGCATGGGGGGTGGGGGGCGGGGCGGTGGTGAGACTGTAATGATAAGCGGATTTATACGATAACACATCCAGTCACTAGGAATGAAAATTATCTGATACTACAAGACTCGCCAGGTGGTGGAGACGAAGGTTGTGACTTAACATATATGAGAATGTTTACAGTCACCAGGGAGGGAGGGAGAGAAGGAGGGAAGGAGGGAGGGAGGGAGGGAGGGAGGGAGGGAGGGAGGGAGGGAGGGAGGGAGGGAGGGAGGGAGGAGAGAGGGAGGAGGAGGGAGGGAGGGAGGGAGGGAGGGAGGGAAGGTATGATAATGTTAACAGTTGGTGGGGACGGGAATGTTCCTGTAGGAGAGTCACTGAGGCTGGAGGCGGCGCGCAAGTTCTATTTGTTAGAGTTAGTGCGTCTGCAGCAGTCAGTAAAGACGCTGTATAATACTTGGCTGTAAAACGTAGCACCAGCAGTCGTGTCATAAGCAGTAAGAACAACAGCACCA